ACTATGCCCACGCAACAAACAGCGAAGAATAAAATAAAAAAGTTACGAAACTGCATATTAAGTAATTTTATACTATTTTTAAAAATATAAAACATAAAGTAATCGCTTCTTAAGCAACTACTCTTTTTTTAATCTGAGTGGTAGCAGCCTGTTTGGCTTGTAAAACAGTAATTGTTTCTTCCACCTTGTTCTTAAGGGAATTCTGTGGTTCCAGCATGTGTAGCAGCTGGATAGTTGCTGAAATATAGATTTACACTCTGAGAACAATTAAGTCTTTCCATTTTTTAGGCTTAGAAACGACGTTTTAGTTCTTGCTGACGCTCAGCTCTCTTTTGAGCTCTTCCTACATACAAAGGTATTGCTTCCACCGCCTCTGAACTTTCAAAGGCTACCAAACCAAATTCTTTTGATTTACTATCTTTACTCATTATCTTGTAGCTGGTAATTATACCATACATTTTTGAGGTGAACATTATTATCAATTGAATATTTTATATCTAATAAAGTATTTACTTTAACATATCTTTTAAATATGTTAAGTATATCACGCAACCAGTGAAGATTCTGACTAAATATTTTCAATTAATTTAAGATCTTATCATAATTTCTTGAAAATTCAATCAAATATATACCTTTACAGTACCTTCTGTAAAATATGGCATTTTTAGTTGTTCAGGATGCAAAATTTTCCGAATTGTATACAAATTCTAGACTCTTAAGATATCTATCTGACAAATCAGATAACTTAACCTACCTAATTCTTGATTCCTGTCTGATATTTAGCATCAACTAAAATCACTATGGTTACAATTTTTGCTTCATGACTAAATTTACATGACTCTTAAAATTAATATCATGGATCCAATGTATTATAGGGTAAACCACCCAATTGTTGACACAAGCCCAATTATTGGCAGTGGACACTTTATTTTTAAATAATTAAGGTGCAATTCACTGTAAGTACTTACTTCCACTTTTATAATGACCTGGCAACATGTAATATTTATGGTACAGTGTAAAATACTATAATCGTCAATATCCCGCTAACTATTCGAGAGTGAAGATAAGATGTTAAGTTATCCTTACATTCTACCTGATTTCAGTAAAGCACAATCTGTGTTTGAGGTAAGTTTATAATTGTAATATTGGCTGTGATAACTAGAATTATATATCATGTTAATCTCTAGATTACATTGTACAGTTTTCTCATTTTTATACTTATTTTCTACATAAGCATAATTATTTTTGTCAATGCCAACAATTGGATGTCATATTGTAGCAAATGCTGGTGATTGGCAGTGCTGCCAATAATTATGTAGCTGAGTGATTTATTTAGTAAGTTATGTAGTTATGTAATTTCTTCTTCAGTTTATAAAAGAGACCTAGAGGAAAAGGAATGCGAAAAAAAAATGGAAATGAGCAAACACAGTTAGAAAATAAAGCAAAATAATTTCTGAAAATTAAAGAAAATTCCTTGAAAGGAAAAAGTGTTAACGAAATACCAAGATTAAGGTACTCAAACATCTTTATTTCAGCAGAAACCTAGTAATTTAGAGGACTTAAAAGTAAACAAGCTTTTAAATAAAGATGATCGACAGCCCCATGAAAAAAATATGGAAATAGGTCAATTACAAAAGCATGTTAAAAATCGTAGTAGTATTAGGATTTGATCCAGAACTCTGATGCTCATCACCTAAAAATAATATATGCTTTACATAAACTGGAAATTTTTTCCCGATTAGGTTTAGAGTTAAATGCCAGAAGTGTTCCAAAACATTTCACAAGGGATATCTTAAAAAATATGAATTGTATAAAGAATATTTTTTTTTGTAAAATTTGTCTTAAACAACTTGTATAAAGAATATTATTTTTGTAAAATTGTTTTTAAAAAATGTATAAATAAATTACACTTTGTTTGTACATAAGTACTTATGTTTTAGTTGTATTTTCAATGCTCAATCAATATTTTGATATAAAAATTATGCCAATTACTAGGTGCCAATGATTGAGTATACTGCCCATAACTAGAATATAACAGCCAATAATTAGGAAATGTGTATAATGTCTAAAATAACCTATTTGTGCATAATTTTTCTCAATAGTTATAATAAAATAACATTTAATTTGTGTTCAGTAATAATGGTAAATTATAAAAAAAAAATCAAAATATCCCCTTATGATGTTACCTATATTAGCAAATCTAATGTTTAAACAACTCTTTTCCTAAAAGTTCCAATAAATGGGTGATTTACCCTATATTTGATTTTTTTATCTTTCAATTGTAACAACAAATATTAAGAAGCTATATTTTATATTGATAATTGATACTAAATTTTTACTTAATCAAGGAGGAAATATTATTTAATATAGATCTATGATTTGATGTTTTCTAAAATTAATTTACAATTAAAAATTATAATAAAATTAATTCATTTACATCCAAATAGTGGATTATGCATATGATAAGCTTTTAAATTTAATGACAAAGCATTAAACAATAATCAAATATCATTAAGTGAATATGGAGAGGTAAACACATAAGTGATGGTACACAAAAGCAATAATAATAAACACATTTGATGTAAAGATTATGCATATGCAACAATCACACCATTCTTTAGATACATTTAAAAAATAAAATAAAAAACTTACGAAGATGCACAAGTACTTTTTATTTATGCTTAAAAATATAAAACATAAAATAAACACTTCTTCAGCAACTACTCTTTTTTGATCTGAGTAGTAGCAGCCTGCTTGGCTTGATGAGCTTGTAAAACAGCAACTGCTTCTTCCACTTTGTTCTTAAGGGACTCCTGTTGTTCCAACATGTGTAGCAGCTCAGTGTTGTCAATTTCCAATAACATACCAGTGATTTTACCTGCCATGTCTGGATACATGCGTTGGATAAGTGGAAACAATCTTTCACCTAACATCTGTTTTTGCTCCTGTGGTGGAGCAGCAGCCAACATAGTTGCTGTTAATGGTTCTTGACCTTGGATGTGTACAGCCTGCTGTACAGGAGCAGCAGCACCTTGTAAACCTCCCAGAGGTTGTGGTGGATTTCTCATGTTTGAAGTGTACTTGAAGTTGGCTGTTCTGTTAACAGCAGCAGGTACAATGGTATTTTGTGGTTGTTGTCCAGTAATTTGTCTAGGCACGCTCATGTTGCTACGCATAGTTGTTGACTGATTTGGTGGGCGAGTAGCAGCTCTGTAAGTGTTTTGCATACCAGGGTAAACAGTAGTTCCTCCTTGAGCACCCTGTCTTACAGTTGTTTGGGCAGCCCATCTAGTACTAGCACGAATTTGAGTCATCTGCGCTGGTCCATAGAATCTTTGTGCTGCGGGGATGGTAGGAACAAAATAACCACTAGATGCACCAGGTTGGATGAATTGACCCATCTGGTGCATTCTCATATTTGCCATACGCTGCATGTACTGTGAAGTTAAATGTGCTTTACGATCTTCTTTACGCTGAGCTAAGGCAACATATAAAGGCTTAGAACCAACAATTCTGCCATTCATTTCTGTTACCGCCTTTGTAGCTTCTTCTGGGGAGGAAAAGCATACAAAACCAAAACCCTTGCTTCTCCCTTCTTCCAGCATCACTTTGGCAGATGTTATGGTTCCAAAAGGAGTAAACTCTTTACGGAGACGTTCATCATCTATTGTATCATCTAGATTTTTAACATACAGATTTACACCCTGATAGCGATTAAGTCTTTCCATTTTTAAGGCTTCAAAGCGACGTTTTAGTTCTTGCTGACGCTCAGCTCTCTTTTGAGCTCTTCCTACATACAAAGGTTTTCCTTCCACCAACTCTTTTCCATTTAAAGCTTCCACTGCCAATTCTGCTGCCTCTGAACTTTCAAAGGCTACAAAACCAAATCCTTTTGATTTACCATCTTCTTTACTCATTATCTTGTAGCTGGTAATTTTACCATACTTCTCAAACATTACTTTCAACTGTTCCTCAGAAAAATCTTCACCAAAATTTTTAACGTAAACATTTGTGAAGAGCTTGGCTTTTTCTCCCAGTTCCTTTTCTCTTTCTTTGTGTGGAATAAAGCGGCCTACATATACTTTTTTTCCATTCAACAACATACCATTTACCTTTTCAATAGACTTATTTGCAGCTTCTTCAGTTTCAAAATGAACAAACCCATAACCTTTACTGGAACTGTTTTCATCTTGGGCTACCTTGCAACTAAGAATGTTACCAAAAGCTGAAAAAGTATCGTACATGGCTTTGTTGTCAATGGAACGATCTAAATTCTTAATAAAAACATTTCCAACGCCAGATTTTCTCAATGATGGATCACGTTGAGACCACATGATGCGGATAGGCCTACCTTTTATCAAGTCAAAATTCATGGTATCCAAAGCACGCTCAGCATCTGCAGGTTGTTGGAAGTTCACATATGCATAACCCAAAGATCGACGTGTAATCAAATCTCTACACACGCGAATCGAAAGAACAGGACCCGCAGTTGAAAATTTCTCAAAAAGCATGGCCTCAGTAATATCAGAGTGTAAATCGCCGACGTATAAGGACGCCATAGGATAATTTGGGGCAGCCGGATTCATCTTCGTTGGATATTTTTTACTTTTTTACACTATTTTACAATTTTTTTTGTTTTTTTAATAGTTTTTCTTCACAATAGGTTCAAAAGTCTAATTGTCACTTGTCAGAAGTCAAAAAGAAAAAAGGTTATCAAAATCTTCTCTTTTGCTAAATGTTTGACGTGTGCACATTGGCGGAAAGTACTGACAGACGCACATGTAAAAAAGCAGAAGAAGAAATCATATCTTAATACATATAAATTTACTTAGCATCAAATTATAAACAAGAGTAACAAAGTAACAAGGCTTTTCGTGGATAATTTAAACAATACTGAGTAAAATATCTAAAATATTTAAAAAAAAAATAATAAGCTTAAGCTTAAGACAACCAGCTACAATACTACTGTTTTCTGTCAAATGTCAACTGCAAGCTGCCATTGCATTGCTCCCTTCAGTCAGGAAAATATTTTTACAAAAAGTCAGATGATAGCAAACAAATGGTAAATAGTTAGATACTGACTAATTATTTAACAACAAAGTTCAAAATGTCCACTAGTGCAGAGCCTGAAAAAGATATTAAGTTCAATTTGTTTTATACTGAGGTATGTATATCCCTTTTTCTTATTACAAATACTATTGTTATTCAACAATGTAGGTATAATTTGTTTTTCCAGTTATTAATAGATAATTTTTTGCTTTTTTTTAATGCATTTATTCACATATAGCATATTAGGTTATCTACTAATGATATTTTAAGGTAAAGGAAATAGAAAAGCGAGACTCTGTACTCACACCTAAACAACAAATCGACCGATTACTAAGACCAGGATCAACGTACAGAAACTTGAACCCCTTTGATGTGCTTCAAGTTGAACCTGAAACTGAACTTGATGAAATAAAGAGAAAATACAGAAGATTATCAATATTAGTTCATCCAGACAAGAACCAAGATGACCCAGATAGAGCCCAACAGGCATTTGAAGCCGTAAATAAAGCTTGGAAAACTTTAGAAAACGAAGATACTAGAAAAAAGTGTATGGATATTATTGAAGAAGCTGTAGGAAGGACCGATTTAATGGTCAGTATTTTTTTTGACTAGTTGGGTAATTTACTTATAATAGTTATATACTTATTTAAGAAGTTTAATAATAATTGTAACATTTAGTATGTTTATTATTTAAATTGTTTCGTTCATTGGTGTGGTCTTAATATTTAACCTGTTGAGACTTTGTAGCTGACAGAGAAGAGAAAGAAAGCTAAAAAAGAGGGAAAAAATACAGTTCCTGAAGATGATCCTGGACAATACAAACATGCTGTGTATGTTCTGACAATGAAACTATTTGCAGATATGGAACGAAAGAGGCGTGAGCTATCAGAGAGGGACCAAGAGGAGAGAAAGAGAAAAAGGGAAGCAGAAATTGAGGAGGAAGAGAAGGCTAAAGCACAGAAAGAGTGGCAGAAGAATTTTGAAGTAAGTGGCTTAGCTTATCTTACTATATATATTTAATTATGACTGGATATTTGAACATTTCTTTTTGACTATAGCTTGTAACCTATAAGTGTAATATTATTCTCATAAGATGTAAATTTTTGAGAATAAACCACAAATGTTGCTATTTGTTTAACCAGTATATTTTCCCAGTATGAGTTGTATTAGCTTCAGATCCAGGCCTTTTTCAGGTTGCATACAATGCTTTTTTGTACTCCTATGGCCAGCTCTGGACTGAAGATGCTGTGTTTTCTATATTTGTTATATATTTTAATAAATAAAATGTATACATGTGCGGAGTGTAATAATCAATTTGACTTAAATCAAGTTTTTTCTTGTGATTTAATGCAGAACTGTTCTTTGTATGGAATGTGGTAATCTAAGAGCATCTGAAGTTAAAAGCATGCAGTTAAAAACAAAATGTAAACTGAACTTTTTCTGTTAACTGGGATTTTAGAAGGTATCAACTCGTTAATAACAAATAATAATAATAAATAATAAATAAGTAAGTGAGCTTTAAGGAAAGTATAAATAAAATTCTACACAAGGAAAATGTCGCATCTGTTGCACCAGATATGAAGGATATTATTTCTGAAATGCTAGAGAGGCAAAATAGGGCTTTTTTAATTTATTGTTAACGAATCAGTTCAAAATAATCAATTGAAATGTAATTCAGAGAACAAACAAGCTGTACTCAATATTTTGACTGATTTTAATATTAACAAAAATAATATAACACTATTTAGATTGGGAAAACTTGTTAACAGAATGAGACCCTTTAAAGTAGTATTAAATACAGCTGAAGATGCTAAAACTGTTGTCAAAAATAAAAGATTAATTAAAGTGCCGGATGTCAAAATTTCCCTGGATCAGACAAAAGCCCAGCAAGAGTATTTCAAGAAAATCAAATTACAGTTAGATGATATGGTTAAGAAAGATGATAATTCTAAAACAATCAAATTCGTTAATAATAAGCCTACAATAGACCAAAAAGACATAAGTTTATCTAAAAAAATTGATGTTGTATATTTAAATGCACAAAGCTTGTTAAACAAAATGGACCAAATCAAGTTAAGTCTGCTGTGTTATTGACCTAAAATAATAGTGGTTAGCGAAGCTCGAATTACAAGTGAAATTGAAGATTCTGAAATTGCTTTGTGTGGGTATAAGGTGATATGCTGCAATTCATCTAAACAATCTACAGGGGTGTTGTACTATATGTTCAGGATATCCTTAAGTGTTCTGCCGCTAAAACTTTTGTTAAAGAAGATAGTTTTTGGTGTAAATTGAATAAAGTAGATATTTCTTACAAGATTGTTTTGGGTGGCATGTATCATTCACCTTCTAGTTCTGATGCAGTATTTTTAGAGAACTTTTAGAGAGCATATTTTTGATGAATTATTTAAAAGTAATGTCAATTGTATTTTACTTGGTGATTTTAATTTGGATTTTTTAGGTACTAGCTTCTACACCCAGAAAATTAAAGCAATGTTTTTACAATGTGGCATTAAGCAGTTAGTAACTGAACCTACTAGAATTGTGAATATTAGTGAAACCTTAATTGATCATGTTCTTGTTAATAATCCGATCTTGATCTGGTTAGCTGTTTTGTTCATTGAACTCTCAAGTTGATTGATTGTTCAATAATATCGCTCAGTTTTAGTAATAGTTTCCAGTGGCGGCTCGTGGCTTGAGAGACAAGGTCGGCAAGGTATTTTTTGTCTCCACAGATAGGTATACCGTCCAATAAAGACTTCAATCATCATAGGAGATTTTTTGTTTTCTTGTTTTTTTTTTTTTTTTTTTTTGTTTTTTCCTTTAAACTTAAAACCTAAACATGTTTATAAATTAACTCTAGTCTACGTTGTTTGGAAGTAGCAAAATGGGTAATAACGTCATCGTAAAATATATTACGAGTTTTGAAAAGATTTTAAAAGTTTTTTTTTCTATTGACATTTTTTGACAAGCTTGACATTCTCTCTTGTTTCATGGTATTTCGACAATAATTTTTGATTCTTTTGAGGCAAGAGAAATCTCGTTCATTTGAGGCAGACGTTGGTGGTAATGAGAGAATTAATGACAATAATGTTGGATATAGATAAATAAATTTGAATATTTTCTAGCAGTGTCATCTATTGGCTACTTTACTAGTTGAATAATGTATCACTTTTCTTTTTTAGGGTAGTAGCAAAATTACAGTCATAGAGTAAATACGTGTTTCATTTTGTTCATCAAATCTCCATTTTTGTTCCAGAACTTTATAATTCCTCAATTAATAATTTATTAATTTCGGTAACAGTTTGTTGTAATGAATTGCAATATATAAAATTAGGTATACATATCTTGTAACTTATCCCATCTTCCGAAAATATTTGGATCAGCATATAAAACTTTTAATTCATTTTCTAATTTTATTTTATTAAAGAATAATGGATAATTTTTAATCAACCTGTCTAATAAATATCTTGGAAATTCTTTGGCGTAACTTTTAAATTTTGAATCGTCAAAGAGGTCAAAAATTTGCAAAACTTCAAAATTCGAAAAACTAGTATCTATTTGCATAATAATAGTATCCAAAATTTCAAAATATAGGTACTCGTTTTTCGAGATCTGTTTCTTTGTCATGCCTTTATCTTTTTTTGGGGGGGTTGGAAATATCAAGCGAGTTAAAAACGTCACTGCGTATATACTGGAAATTACTATCATTACGAAAATCTGACTGAGATTTTGCACCAGTCTTGTTATTCTATTTTTGGAATGAATAATGTCAGTTAAGTGATTTTGAACAACATTGAATATCAAATCGGTTTGGGTAAATACTTTCTTAAAAATATTTAAAAGTATGTTAAAAGAGTAATCATTTAATAAAGTTTTCAAACCGATTGCTTTATGGATCGAGATATCATCACTTTCAAATCGTTACATTCAATAATAAAATCAAAAACTTTCAAAAGCTGTTCACGAAAATCTGCTACAGTGAAAACTAACCGAGATTTAAAATTCCATCGCGTCTGACAAACTGTTGGCCTTTTTTTTCGAAACAAACCGTTCTAAAACATTAGTCCGTTTAGGCAAACTTGAGAAAAATGAAGCAAATCCGCTTAAACTGGCAAATAAAAAGACGACATTCTTTAATTGTTTTACATGTATCTTGCAAAACTAAATTCATTCCATGCGCATGACAATTAGTAAATAAAGCTTGCGGTGCAATAGTTTTAACTTTTGCCTGGAGACCATTTAATTCACCAGACATCACGGCAGCGCCGTTATAAGTTTGCCCTACCAATTTATTTCTGATATCAAAAAATTTTAATTTGTCCTTTAAAACACCAAAAATATGTTCTGCCTTATGGCTTTTACTCACGTCTGTAAAACCTAAAAACCTCTCATAGATATTACCACGTAACGCGTATCGAACAACAATTGACAATTGTGATTGACATGATATGTCGGTAGTTTCATCTACTTCTAGTAAAAAGCAAATGGTTTCCTGAATCTCAGATTCAATAATGTTACTCAAAATGTAACTAATTGATTCTTTTAATTCATTCTGGATTGTTTTAGATACACCGCTAAATGTCTTCGAATCAGAAAGTAAATTAGAAAATTCCAAATCGTATTTCTTAAACATTTTTATTAGTTCTCTATAATTACCTTGATTTAACGAATGCTCCGATTCATCGTGTCCCCTAAAAGATAATTCTTGACAACTTAAAAAAATTACAATATCAATTAAACGACGTAAAACTGCGTGATTATTTTTTACAATTTCGTTATGTTTAATAGCATTTTCACGTTGGGCATTATCTAATGAAACATGGATATTTTGTTTTCCAAATAAATCTAATTTAATCTGGCTGTAAGTATGATCTTTCGAAATAACATGTTTATGTAAAGCCCTAAATAATTCCTTTAAATTATCGTAACCAGATTCACACCACGGATTTTGATGTTTGCCCTTATTTGTCGAAACTAAAATGCAAGGCCAACAAAAAAGTTTGTTTTTTATTTCACTCCCAGTAAGCCATGAGTACTTGCTGTACCAATTTTATCTGAAAATGATCTATTACTTCCCTTACCCGCACTAATATTTATAAGTCGGGACATTTTAGGCAAAGGACGCCCCTTATTTTTAATAACAATTTGTTCTTCGTATAGAATTGATGAAAACCCATTATGCAAAATATAATTTACAATATCAGACTTATCAATACTTACAGTTTCTCCCATGGCATTTTTTAGGTGTTTACTGAATTTGTTTACACTTTAATTAAAAAAAAAACTTCTAATATGTCAAAAAACCCTTTAACCGTTAACTATTTACGGCAGACGTAACGTATCATAGTATTACTTTAGAAAATAAAAATAAATCACAAAAAGATAGGCTAGTTCGTGAACTGAATATCACTTCAGTTTACTACATATATAAAAATGAAATAACATTTCGTCCCACGCTCGCAATGTACAGTTCGCGACCAATCACCAATCCAAATGAAACATCGGCAAATTTAAATCTGCCGGACTTAGTAATTAAGTTCATATGGAAAGAAATGTATATTTGGTTGCTAATCAACCAATATTCCGTTGATTTTTACAAGTAAAGTCAAGGTTGGGATCGGCTAGCCGAAAAAACAAAACGTGCCATTTCAAGAATTCATAGGCGGATGGATGTCTCCGATATCCCAACATTTATTTGAAAAGTGTCTATGCAAGGATCACTTAACGCTCAGATTGGACGAATTCTTTTAAAAACCATGAATAAAATTTAGTCTGGTCGAATTCTTTTAAAAATCATGAATAAAATTTAGTCTTTATTATCTCACAGATATTTTTTTAGTTCACAAAAACAAATGACATCAACTGATTACCTGCCACAATTATTTATTGAAATACTGATTAAATTAAATATTAAAATAATCTATAATATCTATAAAAATGTGGGTCGGCACTGCCGACCCTGCCGACCCTGACCGGCCGCCACT